AATCTAGCTGTAAGAAGCACGATTAGATGAAAAAAGACATTAAGCTACTAATTAAAGCATAATTAACAAAAGTATAACCAAATGCTGCGTTTCTAAAGTAAATGCACACGTTTTTGAATTATGAGAGCCTAAAATAGCAAATGTCAAAGTTATCATATATAAACCCTCAACTTTTTAGGCGATAAACAGACATGGCATTAAAAGCATAAAATAACGAAACATAACACCATTCAGCATCACCAATAGTTAAAATATTGATGTACGTATTTCAAAGAAAAACATATTATCAAAATCGAAAAGGTTTCTACAAAACAAAGCCAAAAAACAAAAAATTGCTCAAATTAAAAAATTGATTGGTTGTAAAGGTAAAACTAGCAGAGGGATGGTGCAAACGATGCAGAGGCTAACTTAAATCAAAATCTTATTGACCCAGTAGAAAGTTTTAAAAAAACGTCAAACAATGCATTTTATTAGACAAAAGGCAGTTTTAAATAAATAGCATGGTTTTTTTGCTTTTATTACAAGAATCTAAGTGCCGATTCAAAGGAGCGGAAATATTTATTAAATTATTGTTGAACAGAACGTATTCAACGCAAGCATTAGCCACTGCAGTGCGGACTAATAAATTTGTATATAAAAAATTAATTGATGACAATAAAATGTGTCGATGCATTAAATGGCGCCATAATTTTCTACTCACCGAATTCCAGCTTGTTTTGAAATTCCACTGCTCCGAATGTAACCTTACATTGATTAGATTAAACAAACCGCACAAATTAATATATATGCAAAACCGTTTATATAACAACCTAAATTATTTTTAATTTTAATTTTTATTTAACGTTGCGTCAATAATCAACATTACGCAAAAGCGTTCATGACTTGCGTATAACCATCACTCATGCCTGCACCGAACGCAAAAAACCCTAAGCAGAATTCGGCGTCTTAGCGTAAGTGCTTAAAGTGCTTGCTTTTGTTTGGTTAGTCACTTTAACCAGCTCTTCTTTTGGTATAATCCCTTCAACAACCCTGATAGTTACGATCTGCCTTCTATAATTAATCCTATTGTGAAATGCTAAAGATCTTGCAGAGCGTTGTAGGTCCAGTCGAATTTACCGTCTACAGGAAGGAAAATCACATTTGCTCTTCAACTTCAAAGCTAGTATATTTGGAAGCGCAAAATTTATTATTGCGTTTGTTCACTATGTGCCTTTATATTTGTATTTGTGGCTTTGATTTTTCGAATTCAGAAAATACTAGCTTATTGAGTGCAATCTTTATCATGTTTTGACAACTATCACTGACGCGCGCATTGCGCGACCCCGTTTGTGTTTTCGTGCTGTATCATCAGCTAGTACTGCTGCTATTTGACCATCGGGTCGCCTTTATCCTTTTATGATTTGTGGCCTTATTTCCCAAAAATGGAGGTCTTGCCTTTCCTTGAGGATAAAAATCGAAGATTCTTTGTAAATTCAGATGGATTTCCTTTGAGTCAACATACGTGGACAAGGATGCTTCAATTTTGCATGTGCTGCTACCCTGATCTGGAACATAGGATACTACATTTGACGCTAGGTTCCCACGTAAAACAGGTAACTTGAGGCTTTATAGTGGACTGGGATACCATAATCGAATAGCCATATCCTAAACCGCCTACTGAATTTTCATGTGATATATCTGCCATGGACAAGCTGGATGCGATTCAGTCATATCTTTCCTCTTTGGAGTATCCTCTTTCAATGAGCATCTAACTTTTTACTGTTGTTCTTCCTTGCAAAAGACCAACATCATAAGTATAAATCAAAATTGACGTAAGCTCTAGCCGTAACAAATTTGTAACAATTGTTTTTAAGTTGATTTACTTCCCTAACTGATCAGATATAACTTCATAAGAACACAATTTTTTGCAATTCCCAAATCCAAGCCCATCAGAAGGTGAGATCCTAGTAATCTCAAATGAATTTTAGACTGGAGATGATCGCAAAAACCATGATAAAGGAAGCTTTGCCGATAAAGTGTCTCGAAGCTGTTGTCTTGGCCATGTATATTCACCACTTCTTCCCCATAACTTAATCAACCTTTAGATACTTAACGCGGAAATGTGTAGAATTACAGCGGTTTGTTATGTCATTCATATCCATGCATGGTGAAAATAAATACAGTCACGTCGTTTTGGGTGTCTGCTGCCGCGGACGTTTTGGAGCCGTTGGGCTGAGTCGTCAAACCGATCTGATGTTCAAACCGCTAAGATACAGCGTGAGTAAGGCTATACATTCCTATTTTCTAGAAGCTTTCCGAACTTATCAACGACTTCCTCTTCGCCTATAGTGGTCACGGACACAAGGTTGTGAAACTAAATATCAGTACCACGATCCCGCACTTCCCTCATTTTCTGGAAACAATTAATTGGAAAGTCTGTGAGACCTTTAATCCATTCCTTAGGGTTTCACTTTCCTCCCCATAGCTCATTTGGATAATCGTTGGGCACCCGTGGTTGATGAGTATGCTAGAATCGTAAGTAAAATCAAACATTGTTATCCATCATTGCTGGAACTCTTTTGCCATTACAGTTTTGTATTTCGTCGTTAACCTTCCTCCCAAAGTTTGTTATCAGAAGTTATGTAATTCCTCTATCAAGGCGAAATACTTCGCCACCAGCAATTCAAAGCACTGCCAACGCTGTGGCTAGGAGATTTCAGAGTCCTTTGAGCTTACGTCGGAGCGCACATAGGCGGTTTTAAGAAAACGTTCAAAAGGTTACACAATATGCCCATGTGATCGAATGCAAATGGACCATATGGTAAGCCTTGTTAAGCAATTATATGAAGTAAAGAAACGTATTACCACGCACATTATGAGGAGTAGCATTTTTTGCTGCAACTAAATTGCTCAGGATCGTTCATTGTTTTTCTTTTCCTAGAGCACTGATGGACAGTCTACATCAGGTTCGAACAGGAAACTTGAGCATTTTTCCGTCCAATTTCAGTTTACGTAGAATAGATAGTGTGATATCACTCCTATTCATTTTCAGTGCTTGCGGTATTAAATAAGTTTCACTTTTGGACCTCAGAAGATCAGCTGCCTCACACGTTATCCCAGCCTGC